TCATTGCAGCATTATTCACAATAGCCAAGAGGTGGAAGCAACCCAAGTATCCACCAATATATGAATAGGTAAACAAAATGTAGTATGTGCATACAATAGAATATTATTCAGTCTTAAAAGGGAGGGAAATTCTGACTTATGCTACAACATGGATGAACTTTGAGGACATTATACTCAGTGAAATAAGCCAGTCACAAAGAGATAAATAATGTATGATTCCACTTACATGAGGGACTTAGAGTAGTCAAAATCCTAGAGACGGGAAGTAGAATGGTGGTTTCCGGGGGCTGGGGAAGGTCTGAATGGGGAGCTCTTGTTCGATGGGGATAGAGTTTCACTTTCACAAGATGAAGAGTGCTGGAGATGGTTGGTTGTAATGGTAGCACAACATTATGGATGTACTTAAATAGCATTGAACTGTACAATTGAAAATGGTTAAGGTGGTAAATTTTATATGTATTTTAACCACAATTTTTAAAAATTGGAAAAAATTCCAGAAAGTAGAATGGTTGCCAGGGCTGCGGGTGGCAAGGGTGGAAGCAGGGAGTTGTTCAACAGATATAGAGTTTCAGTTTTGGAAGATGAAAAAGTGCTAGAGCTCTATTGTACAGCAGTGTGAATAAAACAAATACTAGGAAGGTAACACTACTGAACTTATGCTTAAACATGGTGAAGACAGAAAACATTAGCTTCAGGCAATTCTACTTTCTAAGGAGCAAACATCTCCAAATGTTGTTATCAAAGAAACCAGCGCACCGTTACAGATTCGTCTGCAGGTATTGTCTCCAGGTGAAAACAACAGAAATAAAAGTCATATGATGTGTGAACCTTCAAGCTTTGTGGAAACTCAGTACCAGGTCTGAAGTAACAGCTACGCAGGAGCAGCTGTTATGCATAGTCCGTGCCATATTAATGAAGAGAACAAACAACTTCAAAATGGTCAGATATCACATGTTTATCTAAATGACAATTTACTTTCTTTTTTAGGTACAGGTATAATAAAAATGTTGAATAATCAGTCTCTAGGCTCAACCAAGAGTTCGCAGATATTTTTTTTTTGTAAGAATGGGTTTTCAGGTAGTAGAGTTTGCCATTTTTGGAGAAGTTTAAACCTTCACATAGTTTGAAAAGAAATACTCCTTCAATATTTGGTAACTACATTTCAGCATTTGAATCATTTGCAGCTTTCTTTGCCTCCTCAATTTAATTGCAAACACCTTCAACAGAGTGATAGCGAACTAATTAGCAATTCCTTTTCCTTAAAAAAATACTCCTAATCAAGGAAGATAATCATTTTTGATTAAACAACAACCAGAGTTATCAAATGTAAATTTGCAATTGATTACGGAAAAAAAATACAGTGTGTGCTTTCCCTCTTAATAACAGTAAGCATTATTTCTTTTCCACTCAGTTATATTTAGTTTCTCAGATTAGTTTAGGCTGATCCATCTTTTTTGATGATGTATTCACTATGAATGTCTATAGTATTTCCCAGAAGAATTATCCCTTTGCAAACAAAATACCCAGATGCAAAGTATGCATATGACAAAAAGAAATCTGGCAGTTGCCCAAACATTTTAATAATTTGGATGCTACTAAACTACTATAATTCAGTCTTTCAAGTCCTTCAGGGAATAGTAAGGTCATAGGGAATAATATTTAGACCTAAAAGATACAAGGCTGACTATCTCATCTTAGCAGAGAATTCTTTCATCCATTTATTTATTCATCCAGGAAAAATGTAATAAGGACCTACTGTGTTCCAAACACCATCTGAGGTTCTGGAGCTCTTGGTGGAGCTCCTGCCCTTGGTGGAGTGTACAGGCTGCTTGGCAAAACAGGAAAGCTAACAGCCAATTGCAAATCAGTAGGACGCATGTTACCAGTGGGAAATAAGCAGGGTAGGCCTACTTACTAAGACATTGAGGGAGTTAGGGAGCCCAGAAGGAGGTGCAGCCTGAGTTTAGTCCTGAAGGACCAATAGGGGTCGCGTAGGTAAGGTAAAGGGAGCAAAGATCAACACGTATAGAGTTTCAGAGGTGAGAAAACGCATGTCTTTTGGGAAGACCTATAAGAAGTTCAGCATGGCGAGAATAGAAGTGAGAGGAGAAAATGCTGAGAAAAGAGGCCAGAATGGTAAAGAAAGAATCATTTTATGAAGAACAGTATGCACCTTCTGGAGAAATTTGCATGCTATTCTGAAAGGAGTGGAGATCTACTGTAAGGTCCATTTTAATAGATTTCTTATTATACATGCAGATTAAATTTGCCTTTTCCCTCCCATATGCACTGTACTGGATTGCAAACTGGATCCGCCTCTGGTTCAGAAAATGCTGGTTAAAGTCAGAAGACGCAGGCAGTTAAATATTCTTCATTCTCAAAGTTACACTTAACTTCGATTTAAATGAATAGAAGAGATAAGAGTGATGACAGCAAGGTAACCCCAAAACTTGAAGTTGTCTTTTGAAATGTAATAGGAAAAATGACAATAAGATCAACTGTTTCTATTAATCCTTTACAGGGGTAGAGTCTAAAGCAATTAAAAGAGATTCCCTTTGGACAAAAATAGGACATTTCCTCTATATCAAAAATGAAACAAGAAAAGGAACAAACAACCTCCATCTTAAATTACCAACGGGCAGCTAAATTCTTTTGGGAAAACACAAATTCTAATCCTAGAGGCCAGAATGTATTGTCAAAATAGCACGACTATATGCGTAGGCAACATAATGGCTAGGCAAATGTTTTGCAGTAGCACAGCATATTGGTTATGAACTGTGGTATTTTGCATCAAATGCACGTAGATTTAAACCCCGATTCTGCCACTAACTGTTACTTTAGCCTCTTTCCTCATGCCTGGTTTTTCCTCAGTGCTGTTAAGCGAAAAACAAGCTGTCTTCACATCAGGTCTAAAAGAAGTGGGACTGTAAAAAAAGCAGCTGATGACATGGATCCTTTGATTATACTACACAGAGAGACATATAAACAGTTTATTATTTTCGTTGAACAAAAAATTTCTCGAATATAGAGCATGCAATTTTTTACACAAATGACAATGGTAAAAATGAGTTTCCATAATGCCATTGTGACCACAGTATTCTGAGAAAGGTGGTCTAGGAAAGCATTCTGTCAGATTCCTCTACAAAATAGCCCAGTGTGTAGATGAGTGATTAATGATAGATAGATAGATAGATAGATAGATAGATAGATATTGACTCAATGTAATACCTTGTAATAAATGCCTGCTAAGTTCAAAGGGAATACAAAAGGCAGTAAGTAACACAAGGTGTGTAAGCTCCAGTAGGGCAGCAGCCATATCCTATTGTCAACTTGGCTTTTGGAAAGGTTAAGCAAAGTTTCTATAGAACTTTATAAGGCAGAATATTTCGTGGCACAATAAACGTTCCAGCCGGTACTGTGGAGGTGCAAAAGAGGGGTGATCCCATTTGGTCAGAGGGATGAAAAATGGTTTCATGAAGGAAGACACGTTTGAGATGGTTTTTGGAGGATGTGAAAAATTTTTATAAGTAAAGAGTAGTACATTTCAAACAGAGGAGAGAGCGTGGGTCCTGGAGACAGATGGACAGGGTTCAAATCTGAGTCTGCTACTTTCTAGCTATGTGATTTAGGAGATCCCTGTAACTCCCTATAACAATGTTTTCATCTGCTAAAATGGGATAATAATTCCTACCTTATACTGTTGTTGAGTTGACAAAATATAAAGTGCTTAATACAATGCCTGGACACAGTGCTCTATAAATTGCAGCTATTAATACCATTGTTAAAAGCAGAAAATCGCACAAGACAGGAAAAGGACATAGTCTATACTGGTTAAAGGGGACCACATGGAAAGATAAAACTGGAGTTAAATGTTGGGACATATTATAGGGAGCCTTGGATGCTAGACTGAAGAGTTTGAGCTTACTCCAGTAAGTAAAGACAGCTTTGATTTCTCTTGTTTTTCCACTAGATCAGAATTGACTTTTTAGATTAAGTAAGCAGTATGTAGAGTAAACAATGGGTTTAAAGTGGGAGAAGGAGAGACTGGCATCAAGGTAATTAGTTGGAATGCCATAAAAACAGTTTGGGCAGAGAAAAGAGTTTCTGACTGTTTGCAGTGGCAGTGGGAACGGATATGAGATGTAGAGGTGTAATCCATAGACTAACATAGAAAAGGAGTTGCTTTTGAGCCTTTGAAATACTGAGCATAGTGGGGTCATTCATGGGAAGTTGGAGGGACAATGGTCTGGGAAAGGAAATGAGGAGCAGAGAATGCCGACCTCCTTCTCCCACTCCAGTGAGTCAAGGGCTGGTAGAAAAAGGAGCGGTAGTCAGAGAGAACTGCCGGAGGCCCTGGAATAGAAGATCAAGTAGCCTTTCCCACAAAATAATGTTGGTTGCAAACAAAACAAAGCAAAAAATAGTAAAAGGTGTTGGGGTGGGGGGGGGGGGGCAAGGGAAGGGAACCTGGACAGAGAGAGTGCTGAACTGGAAATGGATGATTTAGTAGGAAGAGGTAAAAATGGGGAGGGGTGTGCTCCACACGATGGTGAAGCATATAGTTCAAAGCTGAGAAGACTATTGAAGGGATATCTTAGAACTGGGGAAGGGGTACTGTTAACGTAGTGGAATTTAATGACCATAAAAATTTGTAACCAACCTGTCTTAAGGTTCCAACTAGCTTATTTGTATCTACAAAATTCATTCCTTGGGAGGCAGATGGTAGGCATGATCTGATGGTTGAGTCACAATTTCACCTGGTTCTGGTCCTACCTTTGTGGAATTCCTTCACTAGACTTATTATTTTATCCACCAGGCTACTCCTTTCAACTCTCTAAAAACTGCTATAGGTTTTCTAAGTTGTTCTACTTCTGCAAATGAGGTCAGAAATAGAGGCAACAGAATACCTCAACAACATGAGAAGGTAGAAAAGAAGTGGTCCCCAGAAAAATAGGTCAGTGGATAACAAACACCAAGAGGTAATAGATATTTGCTGTAGAATCAGGTCATTTGTGAGAACCCATGTCAAGCCAAGAGGAAAGAAACTTGGTAAGCTTGCTCACAACTCCCCAGAACCTATTAATGATGCAGGACCCTCGACACCACAGAACTGTCCAAAGTGTGAACCCTGAATTCTGTAGTGGCACATGTCAGAAGGAAGAAAGGTATAAGAAAATGACTCTCTGTATATTTTACTTAACAGGAATGAAACATTTTTGTGTCAAGCACTGTGTTAGATAGGCTCCGGAGACACAAATATTAGTAAGAAGTCCCCATTCTTAGTAGCTTCAATCCTGTAGGCTTCCTTGGGAAATGCATAGACAAGGCAGAAAAAAAAATCAGCACAAATACATGCAAAGTTACTTATAAAAGCATCAGAAAGAACATTACTGAAAGACATGGGACCCATAAAGATTCAGGCCCTGCACCAAATACAGATCAAGGGAGACCAGCTTCACAGTCAAGCAAAACTGCTCTCTTAGAAGCAGAAATATTTTTAATATAAGGAAAATTATCTACATGGAAAGCTGCTTTTTTTTTTCTCCCCAACGCCCCGGTGCACAGCTGTATGTTCTAGTTGTCCTAGTTCTTTTAGTTCTTCTATGCGAGCCCCCACCATAGAGTGGCAACTGACGGACGGGTGGTGTAGTTCTGCCACTGGGAAATGAACCTCGGTCGCCAAAGCAGTGAGAGCACTGAACTTGAACCACTAGACCATCAGGGCTGGCTCAGAGAGCCGCTTTTAAAGCCAGACAAATGTATTTTAACATAAGTAAAACCATGCACATCTTGTTGGAGACAGCAACTATTTGGCATTTCAATAATGAACATTAGAAAGTTCTTTCTTGATGTGCTGTAACAATGTAAATGTTGCCTGACCCTGTAGTAAGCACAGCAGGTGTTCTAAAGCCTGTCTCCAAAGAGAGCCAGCAATGCCAATGAGTTCAAGTCTATGAGGTCAATCTTTGGATGCAGCCTTGCCCAGAAGTCCAGCTGACAGGAGAGGGAGGGAAGACAATGAAGGAAGGATGATGGGAGTTTTCCTCTTCATTCTGTTCTTCAGAAGTGGGCTCTTCCTCCCACCATAGTCCCATAATGCTTGAGGACTCAGGAGGCATCAGACAGAAGGAAAGCCTTGGGAAAATGAACAGCCAGTCTTTCCATACCATCCCCTCACCGGGACTCAGGCTCCATCAAATCCTGACATTCTGTACTTCTTTCTCGTTGTCACTGCTCTTGCTGTTCCAAAGAGACTTTGCTCCTTCAGCCTGAAAATCACACTGAAAATTATGAAACATTTGTTACTGGAATCCACAGGAAAATAAGGTTTGATACACAATATGTTACTTAACGGCAAACTCTGTGAGAACAGAGTTTTTAAATTTCCGGAGATATTTGTAATCGTCCCAGCACAATCATGAATGAATTTTCCAATAGTAGATTGGATACAAAGGCATTCGTCTAGATGCAGATGCAGAAAATGCAGTAGTTCTTGAAATTTTCCCTTTGGAAGGAAAATATAGGTTAACCAATCATAATAGTGTTTGCAAATGTATAACAAAGTTTAAAAACTATTAAGAGTAGTGGTAAAAGGTAAACTGGTAATAATGAGCAAAACTTGCTTATAAGATTATTAAGATTAATCAAGAAGAAATTTTACAATGAGAATATGAACTAGCCTCCCAAAGGCAGTAATAAAAATATATTCTTGTAAATATTTAAGAATAGCTAGTCATGGTCTTCATGAATATTCAGCAGGACAATCTGCCACTGAGAAAATGAAGATGAGGTGGAGAACGCTATGACCTAGTGCGCTGGCCTTCAGTTTTAGGATTACATCAGTTTTTTAAAAGCCATCTCCCTTTATTCACATTTACAAGAAGTCAGCAGCCAAAGTCTACTTAAAAAAAAAACAAAAGAAAAAAAAAAAAACAAAAACAAAAACAAAAGAACTTGAAATGCTCAGATATTCTCTCAGAGAGTACATATAGGCTGTAACCTCATTACACAAGACCCAACAAAACATAGCTCTCCCTAGAGGGTAATAGGAGCTTAGAACTCTGTGCTGTGATAACAGGACAGAGCCTTTCCTGAGAAAAGCATAAACATATAGATTACTTGAATTTGAATGGAATCACAACACAGTGGAAGTGAATTTCTATTATGTTGGCTCTTTCCAAGGTAGCTGTAGAAAGTACGATATACTCTTTTTAAAATGTTTAAGTTATACATTATTTCCAAAGCTTTTGATTTTCCTTAAGCTTCCCTATGTCCTGTCTTTAAACTGCTTTCTCTTATACATTTTCTTGCTCATTTCACCAAACAGCATCGTTAACCAAGTGCTCCTGGAATGATAATATATAGCATTAGACAGCAATGGCGTGCAGTGGCTGTGTGTCTGCTGTGTGTGAGAGGCAGAACAACAGATTTAGTTGCACTTACTTGTCGTGTCTCCTTAGTTTCCCCTGGTTGTGACAATTTCTCAGTCTTTCCTTGTTTCTTATGACCTTGACAGTTTTACGGAGTATTGGTCTGGTATTTTGTACAGTGTCCCTCAGTTTGGGTTTGTCTGATGTTTTCCTTATGACTAAACTGGGGTTGTGAGATTTCGGAAAGAATCCCACAGAGGTGAAGTGGCCTTCACATCACACATATCAGATGAACATGACACCCACACAACATCACTGGTGGTGTCATCCTTCATCGTTTGGTTAAGGCAGTGTTTGCTGAGTTTCTCTACTGAAAGTTAATATTTTCCCCTTCCCATACTCTATTCTTTGGAAGGAAGTCAATAAATTGAGCCCACACTCAAGGGGAGCAGAGGGGTGGTTTATAAAAATCTGAATGTGTAACGAAGCTCCTGTCTTTCATTCAAATTCAATTCAATAAACTTTTAAAACACCACAAAGAGAAATATTTTGGAGATCTATACAGCAACAATCATAATCCTTAGTAGCTATGGGTATTAGCATCATACAGAAAGACACAAACTTTAATCCTTGTGATGATTATAGATACTAAGAGATGGTTATCTTTACCTTACCTGAGTCATTATTAAAATGCCTGTTTATTTTTCTCAGCTCTTTTTAACATCTGATGAAATCCCTGGGTGAATTTTCTTCTGAGACTCAACATCCTACAATGCAAATTGTACACAAGCTAAAAATGCATCTTCATATAATTGTACTCTGGGGTCACACAACATTTAAACGCACATTGCCAAGAATGTTATTTGTCTGCAGAATCATAAATGCACAAATGAATTACTCTCTTTCAATGGTCATGTGTTTATAAATTTTCTCAAAGGTGTCCAACTTAGTAAATAGCTTGCTACCTTACATGTAAGGGCATTGTAGTTCATCATTTTCGTTAGAATCAATGGTGTCGTGCTACCTTTTAAAATGTTTGTACTTTAGGGGCCGGCCCCCAGGCTGAGTGGTTAAGTTTGCACGCTCCACTGCGGCCGCCCAGGGTTTCGCTGGTTTGGATCCTGGGCGCGGACATGGCACTGCTCATTAGGCCACGTTGAGGTGGTGTCCCACATGCCACAACTAGAAGGACCTGCAGCTAAGATATACAACTATGTACCTGGGGGTATTTGGGGAGATAAAGCAGGAAAAAAAAAAAAAAAAGATTGGCCACAGTTGTTAGCTCAGGTGCCAATCTTTAAAAAATAAAAATAAAAATGTTTTTATTTTCAATTATGGTTTGTTTGGTTTTTTTCATTCTACTGGCTTTCCTTAACCTTTGAGTAATATTTTAGTTGACACAATTCATATAGCAGGCAACAAGATGAAAATGTGTTCTTTTCAATTTAGTGGAATTATATGACCATCTTGCAAATCTCTAATTAAGATCTCGAATTGGTTACGTTTTCCTAATTTGGTGATTTATGTCTCTCTTTATCCTGATCAAATTATGTCATCATAAAGATATAGTTGTAGTAGTTAGAAATGCATATCAATGTGATAAAATTTTCTTCTAAGGTTTTATTTACTTATTTATTTTTTTTAACATTCATTGATACCTTAAGACAATATCCTAGATGCTGTGGAGAAAAGAATGCAAGGAGCTTACTTTCTAGTAAAAAAACTCAAATGTTTACAAACATTATTATAATATAAGGTAGAAAACATTAAGTAACATGGAAGAGGTACAAATGAAATATAATAAAAATAGAAAGCGATAAGGAGTCACAGAGGTTCTTTAGCAGGCAAATAACAAGACCAGATACGTACTTTAGAAAAATAAATTTTAGTAGCATTGTACTGGATTAATTTTAATGGTAGAAGAGAAGCAAACGAGGATGGAGAGGGGAGAGACTGGGACAAAGAGATGGATAGAAAACCATTCGTATTAAAGAGGTAATGTGAACTAAGGTATTGGCAGTAGAAAGAAGGAAAAGATGTGGATCCAAGAAATACTGCAAAGGGGAAACTGAGGCACAGTTATTGATTGAATATGGGGAATGAGGGGTAGGAAAGATTCAAATAAAATTTTGATTCTTCGAGAAAGGAAATGTGGTGCCAGCAATAAAAATGTAGAAGGAGCATTTTATATTTTTTATTTATTTATATTTCTTTGCAACATTTTTTCACAATGTATTCTGTATGCACTGAGAGCTAGCCTAGTACATTAGAAGATTTCCTTATCTTTATATTTCCCTTGTGATTCCCTCGTTATAGCAGCTTCTACTCCTTTCTGGCATAAGTTGCGGTATAAATAAATGAATATGCATTCATTATGCTTGATTATATAATTGTGGCTTCCCTCTCAGCAAATGTCTCAAGGTAGTAATGTAATGGCTTCTGTTCACAGCTAAAATCTAAGTTTTTTTTTGAGATATTTTCGAGCTATATGGTGTTTGTTACACATTTTGTAACATCTAACTTTCTTAGCAATAAATAGTAACTTTCTACAGAAAGCAGTTTTTTCATTTAATTTGGAATCAAGTAAACTAAGAACTATTCTTTTTTTCCTTAAATAGGCATTAATGACATTTTTCAGTAACCAAACCATCGTTAAGACTTATCCTTTAGAATCAAATTACTTCTCATTTCTGTGTTAACATTATATGAACCTTTCAATAATAATTATAACAATACAAGCACCGCTAATACTTACGGAGTATTAACCATCTTCAAGGCACTGTTCCAAGTGTCTTTTACATATAATCTTAAGAATAATTCTTTGAAATAGGTATTATTAGAATCCCATTTTACAGACGACACACAGCGAAGTAAAGTAACTTCCACAAGGTTACATGACAAGTAACCATGGGAACCAGAATTGGAACTCAGGGCGTCTGGTTCCAGATCCCATGTGCTTGGCAGCTCTGCCCTCAGCCGCTTCCTCTGTGTAAGAGTCAAGTTAGTCCAGGCTTACACTTAGTGGGATACTTTGCTCTGCCATGTATCTCAAATTTTCCTGAAGTTGGGTCTATTTTAATAAAGAAAAGAAAAAATCTGTGATGTCCATTGGCATCCTCAGAGGTCTTAATCATCAAAATCCTGCAAAAACATAAGTCCCTACATACCAAGACATTTGATTTATAATTTTAAAATGTTCATTTCCTGTGGATAGCTGCAGGAAAGAAGAGTTCTTTGTTTTTAAGCTGAAAGTAGTAAAAAGAGAAAGCGAAAACCAATTGAGTTGATTTTCAGTCAGTAAAGCATATACAAGAGTCAGGAAGGTAAATCAGGTGTCTGAGGTTCATTACTACAGTCAAACGGGATTCCACACGCTGTGAGCCCACTGCTTTGGAACGAGGAGCTGGAGGCCAGAAGAGGAGGCTTTGTGGAGACATCGATCTCAGCAGAGGTTGTTCAAGATGAAATGTTGACAGCTCTCCTCATGGATGCCTGTAAGAAACATAAATCTTTTATTTAATTCAAAAATATGAAAGGACTGAGTTATTTCTGAAGATATGGAAGTCTGAAAATACATTTCGTCAAGAACTCATTCACCAAATGCCTTTATGGAAAATATCTTCATAGATCACATGCCCTGAAAAGATTACCTAACACATCTCAAAAATTCATCAAGTGAATGGGCCCTGAATCATCGGATCTTCATCCGTTATGCTTTTGCTTACTTTGTGCATTTTGCTGAGTTTGGACCACGAAACTAAGCAAGGCCGCTGCATGCATGTGTGCTCACATACGTACACACATACAAACACACACTCACACGGTATTTTTCTGTGTCTTGGACAATATTAGATAACCTAAGACAAGATGAGGTTAAAACTTTTAATCCTATTTTTTATTTCAATTTACAATATTCCCCCATATTAAATTGGATATGTCACACACTTTGTCCTCCAAGATTCCCAAAAGCTAAATAACTTTCAATGCAAATTATATTCTATTCAATACACTCACATACACACACATACATATAGTTGCACAGAAACTAATTTCCCCGACTTTTAAATCTTAAAGCAGGATAGGTTAAAAAGTTCGAAGTTCTGGAGGCCAGCCTGGTGGCACAGCGGTTAAGTGGACATGTTCTGCTTCAGCGGCCTGGGGTTCACTGGTTCGGATCCCAGGTACGGACATGGCACCGCTTGGCAAAAGTCACTCTATGGTCGGCGTCCCACGTATAAAGTAGAGGAAGATGGGCATGGATGTTAGCTCAGGGCCAGTCTTCCTCAGCGAAAAGAGGAGGATTGGCAGCAGTTAGCTCAGGGCTAATCTTCCTCAAAAAAAAAAAGTTCCAAGTTCTGCTTATTTCTTATCTGGGATCAGTCGCACTTAGAGACATCTAATATTATGGAATTTTGTGCAAAGGTCATATTATTTTGAAGGTAGGAGATTCTGCATCTAAAGCTGCTGAAGGATTTCATGCCAACATAAGTTTTCTCTAGTTTCCTGAATCTGCTATTTTCTGCAATTCTTAAAGAGGAGGGTATGGAAGGATGGCAGAGTAGAGGCATGTGTATTTTGGAAATTGCTTCAAAAGTGGTAGAATCAAGGAGAATTAAATTAAATAGTGAAGTGTCTCTCAGAGTATTGTTAGTAGATCTCAAAAGCTGATTCCTGCATCACCAAGGAACTTTTTCTGGCTGCCCCAGATCTCTGAACCAGAAAATCTAGGAGTGGAGCCTAACAATCTGTCCTTTATCAACCCATCCAGATGATTCTGTTTGGTGCTCAAGTTTTGGAACCACCAGACTAGAATCACCTATACCAGAATTACCTGGGGTGCTTGTTTAAAATTGTAGATTAATGGGCCCTACTCCACACCTTATTCTTTAATGGTGAAACCCAGGAATCCATGATTTGAACAAGTTTTCCAGGTGATTCTTATGCACACTAACATTTGCAGATCACCGAACCCATAGATAAATCAATCAATCAGTTGGTGATGGAAAGGAAGCAGTTTCAAACAGATTTCTCTGGAGGTGACTTCACACGGTGGAAAGATCACTGGTCTTAGAGTCGGACTAGCCTGGGTTTGAATTCCAGATATGCCTTATACTGCTTATGTGATCTTCAACAAGTTATGCAAACTTTCTCAGCCTCAGCTTCCTTATCTCCAAAATGGGCTTAATAATACTTTGCTTACTCCATTTTGAGAGGATTAAATAAGATGGGGTATATACTCTGCATAGTGTCTCTTACACTTGAACAGACATTAATCTCTTTCTTTTCTATACTTTCCTTTTTTGAATGTTTTCTAGCCCATTACTGTCTGGTGCCTGGCACTTTGCTCAGTGATTTTTGCTGAATAAACACAGGGTCCAATGCAAAATTTTTGGGTTAGAGTCCCAGCTCCACTGCTTATTAGCTATGAGACCATGAGTGAGTTATTTGACTTCTCTGTGCTTCAGCTTCAGTATCTTTAAATTGGGGATAAAAATAATATTTACCTCCTAGGCTTATAGCGAGGATTAACTGAGTTCATACAAGCAAAGCACTTAAAAACAGTGTCTGGAACACTATAATTCTCAAACATTATTGAAAGAAAAATCCCTCACAAATATACTTCTAAACTTCAGAAGGGTTTCACTCTCAAAGAAATAATGCAATATATTCATTAATTTTTCCACAAACATTTGTACATAATGTCACAGGCTCTGTGTGAGGCTTTGGGACACACAGCCCCTGTTCTCATGGAGCAAGTAGTCTAGTGGGAGAGGCAGACATTAATCACATAATCATGCAAATGAGTACATAATGACAAAAATGAGAAATGCGTGTGTAGGAAAGAACAGCTTGTATGGCTGGAGCTCAGGGAGCAAAGGAGAGGAAGACGGAGCGAGGACCGCTGCCGGGTGGGAGAGGCGGCAGGAGGCCAGATCAAGCAAAGCCTTCATACAGCTTGGTGTATTTCCAGGAGCAAAGGAAAACCTTTGAAGCGTTTAAGCCAGAAGGTCACATGTCCAGATGTGTGTTTCAAAAGGTTACTCTGGCGGCAGTGTGGAGGTGAGATGGGAGGAGGCCCAGATAGGGTGCGTGGAAGACCCATTAGGTTTTTACAATACTCTAGCAGAGAGACAATGGTAGGTAAGAGTAGAGTGGAGGCAGTGGAAATGGAGTTATTTAGGATTAGAGAGCTATGTAGGAGAGGAAGTGGAGGGGATGCCGGGATGAGTTAGAGATGGAAGGCAAGGGAGTGGGAGGAGTCTAGAGTGATTACTCTGATTCTGACCGCACCAGGAAAGGACAGGATTGGAGGGAGAAGACTGCGAGTGTGGCACTGGGCATATTTAGTTTGATGTCACTGAGAGCTGTCCACATGGAGGTACTGAGCAGTTGGACACATTGCTCTGGGGCTCAGTGTGGAGATCTGAGCTGGAGAAACAAATCAGGGAGTCACAGGCTTATGGATGGAAACTAGAGCCAGGGGAGCAAAAGAGATTTTCTGGGAGAGGATATGGAGTGAGGCTTTGGGCCCAGCCATGCAGAATACCTACACCAGATGACTAAGAGGAGGAAGGTGAACCTGCAAAAGAGGCTGATGTGGCAGGATAGTCTGCAGGAAAATTGATTTTTGTTTTCTCTCACTCGTATTTTCCCCTTTCCTCCCATTTTGAGCTAATAGCCTGGTTTTATTATTCCTGGCTTCAGGGATCTTGGCAAGAACTAAAATTAAATAATTCTGAAGTAAAGCCTATTGCAGTTTTTGGTAGATGTCCAGAAGACAAAGGGAAGCTATGAAGTAAGGGGAGAAACGCCTGAGGGGTCTTGAATAGTAAAGCCCCACAAATGGCTCAAGCTTGCAAGCTTAGCAAAGTTCCCAGGGCCTTTCAGAGACCTTAGACGCAGCCGAACCACTGGGCCTGAAGGCCCCAGGTGGACATGAGCGAGCATATTCTGGAGGTAATAAGAATCAGTGGCCAATATGCAGAGGGCTCTCCTCAGTGCCTGAGGGTATGATGGCTTCCAGATCTTTGCCCAGCTCTATCATGGGAAGCTCCAAAAACGACTGAGGTTAAATTTCTCACCAGGCTGTTAGGACAGTTGGGAAACGTCTGAACTTTGGTTAAAAAAAGTAGAATAAATTGTGGTATTACTTGACAATTCCATGATGCACTATATTGGAATTTGAGGTAAACGGAAGAATATGCCCCCAGCTTTAATGGAAGCAAACTGGTCAATAATATTTTTTAAATCTACTTCTTTGATTACCTCTTTTCAATTAAGACAACAGAATTGCCATGTTTTAAAACTTCTCTTGATCAAGTGATGATCTTAAATAATTTTCACTTAACTTGAGGTAAAATCATAATTCCTTTTTGGTATAAATGAAATATGTTTCAACTTAATGTGCTAATACATCTACTTTTCAGTTTTTCAATATTTTTTCCAACTACTTCAATGTTCAGGGAACAAACTAACCATTACAAAATACATAAAAACACATATATATAGCCATGCATATTTTCTTTTGCCTCAGGCTCCAATCTGAATCAGCATAGCACTGGTCTTCATCTAAAATTTTGATATTTTTGTTTAACGTGGATTTTTAAAAGTTTTATTGAGGTCATAATAGTTTATAATATTGTGAAATTTCAGTTGTACTTTGTCAGTCATGACATAAATGTACCCCATGACCCCTTATGCCCACCCCCTCATCCCCCTTCCCCGGTAACCACTAATCTGTTCTCTTTGTCCATGTGTTAGTTTATCTTCCGCAATGTGGATTTTTTGCATAGAATTTTTTTAAATATTGCATTGAACTATTATTTATCTTGTTTACCAAGCTATTTAGCACCCCCTTAAATTTTGCACCTAAGTGAGAGAGTTCAAATG